GTCACAAGTGGTACAAAGAGCACGACCATTAATTACACACATATGCGTAGTTGGTATTCAAAGGGTTAACATTCTTTGGTTCTTCAAAAGGATGTCGATCGCCATTATTAAGCCTGCTTGCGCCACTGTGAGTGTATATATGCATCCAATGCCATGATAATAAAATATTGGAATTTATGACCAGGAAAGAGAGATAGCATTGGCTAAAAGGCGATTTGTATGATGATGTCATCTGATTACAACTACCAGAATCCTTCACTTTCTCTGTTTCTTATGGTAAATAGGGCATTATTATTTAAACCCCACTGGGAATTCAAAATTTAAATATTAAAGAGAAAACGAAAGAAATTCTGGTAGTTGTAGTCAAATGATGACATCATGCAAATCTGCTATTGTCAAGTGATTACTTCCTCAATTTGGTCATGTTTGAATTTGGGTACTTGATCACAATCTTCTTTTTTCATTTGTGTTTCGATTCTGTCAGGACAGGCAGGTAAAATTCAGATGCTGGATTTAACAGAGCGGGCACATGTGTGTACATGGCACATTTCATGTCCTGTTTTGACAAGACGTGTGCCAGCCATGGATGTGGCTGCTGAGGAAAGTAGTGTGCATTAGAAGAGAATTTCAGTTCCTGAAGTTTTGTCATAATTCAAAGCTTCTTTTCTCTCCTCTTGTATTTTACAAAACACTTAATCACTGGTCCCTTGACAAACAGTTTTGTTTTCCTTTGAATCTCAATGTTTCTCCAGAAAGATCCAGATTCTTGGGACAACAAAACTGACTGTTTCCCTCAAGACCAGTGATTAAGTGTATATATTGTTCCAAGCTAACATGTCCACTGGGTCCCTTTATCATAATATTCAACTTTTTGGTGTCCTTCCACAATATTTAACGCGTGCTATTATTTTGTGGTTGAGTTAAAGATAAATAATCAATATTCTCCATTTCGTGCAAAAATATGCTTGGATATCCATCCGAGGACATTATTCTTTACCATTCTGTTCCAAGAAGAGTACAGTATTTTGTGA